GGATTAAACTACCCTGGATTAAACTATACCCTGGATTAAACTATACCCTGAATTAAACTACCCTGGATTAAACTATACCCTGGATTAAACTACCCTGGATTAAACTATACCCTGGATTAAACTATACCCTGAATTAAACTACCCTGGATTAAACTATACCCTGGATTAAACTATACCCAGGATTAAACTATACCCAGGATTAAACTATACCCTGGATTAAAGTATATCTTTCTTTCAAACAAAACAAAAATATGTCTTCAGAAACTTTTCCATCCCCTTTAGATAATAACAACTGTCTCTCTTAAAGTTTACCTGAATGTTGGAAGGTAATATGTTTCTGTGAGCCTTGTACATAAACTGTAAAATATTGTGGTCAATCAAATCATAGAATTTCAAATTTTTCAATTTACAAAATAATGTATTAGATGGCTGATTGTAATCTTTTCTCGCGATAATTCTTACGGCTCTTTTTTTGTAAAACAAAAATCGGATTTGTAATTGTTTTGCAAGCTTTACCCCAGATTTCAACACAGTAAATTAAATKTGGAACAATTATTGAATTGTACAACACAAGCAGAGCTTTGTCATTGAATAACTCCCTGGCTTTATRCAGWACTCMTATAGATTTAGATATTTTGGTTCTCAAATAATGTATGTGAGGTCTCCAAATTCAGTGCTCCACTCTCTCGTACAGATCTAGGGAAAACGGGAGGCCCTTCACAATCGCCTGCTTCAAAGAGGACGAGGAAGATGAGAGCGTGAAGGGTGGCCGGGACGACTCCTCTCTGAGCCTAGACACGTCGGATTACCACTCCGCTACCTCTTCGGACTGTGGTTCCACCGCATCGAGCGACACGGAGGAGGAGGCGAAAGATGGCGACTTAGAAGAAAAGCTGGCGGAGGGCKTGAAGAAGGAAGCGGCAGAAAGCAGCACCTACACAGTAACGATGGTGCCCAGGGTGCGCAAGTGGCAGACAGAAGCACAAAATAAAGTCAAATACGTCAGGAAAAAGGTAATTTTTTTTCCCTCTTTTKGTTTAAAGCCAATCTGCTACATCGTTGACATTTACGGTCTTTTTTTYCCCATGTTAAACCCTGATAAGTTCATTTGTTTGGGCTGGAGGCTTTTCAATGTTGTCTTAAAAAAAACACTGATAAGCCACAGTGCTGCTTGGAACGACATGTTCTTTCATTACCATGAATGTGGGCTTTTTAAAATGAGTCAGGACCACACACACACACACACACACACACACACACACACACACACACCTGCCATAAATACTTACTGTAGTATTTTATGACACAAATAAAACCAGACTCAGTTACCATAAAGTTGTCTAAAAGGTAGAAAAACTTTGGTTGAGTGATTTGAGCATGAGCTCATCTGRGATGATAAAGAGAATCAGACACTKGACAAGCAGCTGATACTGTTCACTGAGTAAGAACGGACATCGATTCTTCTTTCAGAACTGCAGCAGTTTGTGTCCTGGCTCCAGAAGTCCTGTTTTACAGTGCTAGCTTAGCCTCTCTTTTCTGTGTGGTTGTTGCATTAAATCATAGATTTGTTAGCAATTTTTAAATGCAATGCAGTTTGTCTGCGAAGGCTCTGAAAACCATTTGGTTTGTACTTGTGTATAATTAAACGKAAGTAGGGGTGCACTGATGGCAGTTTTCTGGCCTATCACTGGTCTTTAAAAAGTCTGACCTGTCGATTGTGATTTTGGCTGATACCGATTTTTTTTTTTTTAATAGCTGTCAGGTGTTATAAGATCRCAATAYAACTTCAATGTTCCAATTTCATTTTATTGAAAACCATTGAACAATACCCTTTAAACAATACAAACTTGTTTGAACTGGATATTCGTGCTCACAGCAGAGCAAAAGTGGACAGTGGCTGATTTTCAGACTATTGTGGAGGTAGATGAGAAGCCGATCTTTTCTACCAGTATTATCCATGTATCGACCAGTCTCCCAAAAATAAGGAAATCCTAAAAGGAAGTTTAAAGATGTTAACAAATTAAGGCTCAGTTTTTAATTTTTTTAATTTTTTTTTGGACTTGAGTTTTTATTTGGGCCCAAAAAAAAAGACAATAGGATATGTGATGGGAAATATATTGGGGTAAAAGGAAAGGATAAAACTCAAAATGTCTATCACATGCGCAAATTGTTTTGATCAGAGTGTAAAAATATTCRAATTAAACAATCCTAATGTGTCGTTTATATGAGCACAAAATTAACCTGATCATGYTGAGCGTTTACAAGCTTCAGGCTTGTATTTAGAATAGCAGAGTTGTAAACTTTCCCTTAAAAAAACTCAGAAGTTCTACTTCACAGTGTACATAAACAAACGTTCTGTTTCTTCTTAGCAACCAGAATGAACCCGCTCTTTCAAAGTTTCTAGTAGAAATGGTGTAACATACCTATAGCCAAGCAGGGATATGTCAGGTTGACATGGGGCACTCGTGCAGTCAGGTCAGTTTTCCACAACCAGAATAACATGATCAGAAGAAGTGTTCACATGCACGCCATCTGGGTTACCAATCGGCATAAACCACCTCTCTCATTACAAATTCATTCCAATCGAGCTGGATCGGATCAGAATATTTTGATTGGAGCGTTTACATGACGCTTTTTTTATTCCGATTGGTCGTTCATTCCAATTACTTATGTCTATAAACATGGCTGTTGTTGTACTTGGCAAAGTTAGATCATCCCATCACACATGTACAGGATTTATTACACCTGCAGTATAAGACAAAATAACCATACTTCTGAAATGGAATTATTAAAAAAGGAAATGTTGACGTCTGACGTCTTTGTGGGGTTTTTCTTTCACATGTGGCATCGGTGGTGAGATAAGTGGGCACCAAATTATTGAAGCTTTTTTTTAAAAAGTACCCAGCACAGCATATCATGTATTTAAATCAAATTCAGTTTAAATTAAGAGAAAATCTTGTTTTTCTTTCCAATTTAATTCAGCTCTACATTTGTATTTCCGTCAGCTCTACACTGRCCTTGAACTATTATTGCTGAAAAGCAAACACTGCCCCAAAAACGTGTCCTTAAGATATAATTTGTATTCCATTTTAAAATAATTCTCAAAGCACTTGTTGCTGTTGACTCTCTCTGAAATTGTTGTTTTGGTCATTCATATGAAAATTATAGCATAAAGGGAACTGTCTGTTTGTTCCAAACAATCATTTGTGGTAAGATRAGAAGAAGATGACTTGGAAAGCTTTCAGACAAACTGATGAAAGCCCAAAGTTCAGGAACAACAAACACACAGACGCTCATTCAAAGTCATGATACAATGTTTCAAGTCTGTATTTTCAAAAATTAATTTCTCTTTCTTTGTTCTCTCAAGGTCCCTGCTAGTCTCCAGTACTTCTATCATCCCACACCAGTATGGCCTCAGTACAAGAAGGGGGCTCCGGTGTTCCTGGCCACAGTGTGTGCACCCCCAGCACCACCGCCTCCACCCCAGCAGGTCTTTGGTTACTACATCTTACCGCAGCCGTCTCCACAGTTCATCCTGCCTCAGGCTGCCCTGCAGCCATGGGGAGCTGTGAAAGCCTAAAGTGTCCAAAGAGCATTATAAGCTTCTTTAACTGAGCCACGCTATAAAATATCTCAGAGTTTAGCTACAATCGGGCCAAATAAATGCAGACAAATGCCTTATTTGTAAAGTTTAAATGTTTTTCTTGCACAGTCTTAAACTCTTTTTTTTTTTAACTTGTCTTTAAATCAGGACAGCAATGCCACTGAATTTGAGCAAAAACTGTTTTATCTGCTATGTCTGCACTGCTAGTTTTCCTGCCGACTGTCCTCAACAAGAAGGTCTTTGATCACTGTGTGAACTCAGGAAGTCTTAGCAATATGTTTAAGGCCAAATAATTGTCCTTTTTTTGTCCTGTAATATTAATCTTTTCTATTTCTTTTTACCAAATAAGGTTCACTGTGAACAAATTACAGTTAATCTTTGTAAAATGTGATTCAGGGTTTTATTGTGTTGTAGCTACAGTCATATCTGTACATTAAGATTTTCTACTAAAACAACTTGTAAATATATTTAAAAAAAACTGTTTTACCATAGAACAATGCACACTTTTTAATCTTCTGTAATTTATTTGGCTAACAGTAGATGGTGCTCATGTCACACCAAATACATGATATTATTTTTTGTTGTTTTATGTAACTGTTGACAGCTATACATTGCTAGTTAACTTCCCAGAGCACAGAGAAGTGTTTTATTTTTTAACCTGTGTACTCAATACTGTTTTTAAACTATTTATTGTAAATAACATTCTTTACGACGATCTGCTACAGCTTTATAAAAATGTCACAAATGCACGCTTCACCTGATTGAATATTTATTTACTGCTCTGACAGTTTGAAGCTCATCTTTTTATTATTTTGTTTTAAATCTTTGCAGAGAGCAATATTTTATTTCCTGCAGAATAAACCAGTGTTTAATTGAAATTATA